GTATTTTAAATGGCAAATTGTATGTCTTACACTTAGTCTAACATGTACATTTATACACCGTTGTGTAGGTATTGAATTACCCTATACAGGTATGTAATTGGTTTTTACCGTGTCCCATGTGGAACATGAGATAGAGGACAATAAGCAATTCTTTTCGAACAGCACTCGTAAATAACTGTGACGCTCGTCTTTGAAACCCAATCTCAGGACCATGTACTACGACTGTTTTGTACTGCTGCCCTGATACATCGTTCTCTTTCAGTTCTTTTCCCCAATTTATTTAATGTCGCCAACCTCCGAAAGTATTGGCCTTTTGTTCAGATTGAATTTTATCTATCCGGTAGGTTAGGGGGAATATCTCGGTCGCACAATTTACCAAAGGAAATACTTCTACACAGTACACACTAATTTTTAGTTGTTTTGACACATGCGTTATCGTATAATTTATACCTTTTTGAAATTGAAGGATATTGAATCATGTATTGAATAAATAAATACATTTTTTTTTTATAAAAATACACTGCTATTGAGAAACAAGGTCGGTCAGACATTACTATACTACAATCTAATTGATAATTATAGTGCTTCTTTTTAGGAGGAATCCTTATTTTAACAAGCAATTATCAAATAGTATTGCCCAAACAAACCCTAAGTTCCCCCACCGGTAAGAGCCCCAAAAACATTCTTTTAAAGGGCCCTTGGGCCCTTTCCCCTTGGTTCCCATTTTAAGTAAATTTTTTTGGGAAAAATTTTTTTAAAAATGATCAAAAGGAAAAAAATTTTTTTTTGTACAGACAGACGGAAAGAAAAGACCCCTCTAAAATTTTTTTTTAAAAATCCCTGTTATAAAATAAAAACCCTTTTCAAAATCCTATTTTATTTATTGAAAAAAGTTTTGGAAATTTAAAAAAATTACCCAAATTTCTCAAAAAAAATCTAAAATTTTAAAAGGGGCATAAATTCTGGAAAAAGCCTTGCTAGAGTATTGGGAAAATCACCAAATGTGAGTGAATTTTGAAAACATTTTTTATGAAGTTTGGAAAAATAGATTCCCTTCCCAAAAAAGGAAGTTTAATTTAAAAAACAATGGTTTTTTTTTCATGAAAATTTTAAGTTCAAGGGAGGTAATTCTGATAAATTTTGTGCTAGAGTTGTAAACCTTGTCACATATGATGTGGTTGATGACAAGCAATTTATATTTAAAGTTTGAAGAAAATACCTTAAGAAATAAAGAACTTATAGTGAAAAAAACTTAAAAACTAGAATCAGAAATCTTGAAATTCAGTCTATTTGTTGCCATAGCAACCAGAATTTTCAACATAGGAAGATAAGAAAAGAATGTGCATAATTTCTATACTGCCATCTACCATATGTCAAGTTTCATAAACATATTTTCAGTACTTTTTTGTGTTTTCACTGGATCCAGGTTATGTGTAAAATTTGCCATATTTTCAGTCTATTTGTTGCCATAGCAACCAGAATTTTCAACATAGGAAGGAAAGAAAAAGACGTGCATAATCTCCATACTGCCATCTATCCATATATCAAGTTTCATAAAAATATTTTCAGTACTTTTTGCGTTATCGCGGGATCCAGGTTATGTGTAAAATTTGCCATATTTTCAGTCTATTTGTTGCCATAGCAACCAGAATTTTTAACATAGGAAGAAAAGAAAAAGACGTGCATAATCTCCATACTGCCATCTATCCATATATCAAGTTTCATTAAAATATTTTCAGTACTTTTTGCGTTATCGCGGGATCCAGTTTTGTGGACGGACGGACTGACTGACGGTAAACCGGTAGGGGACTAAAAAGTATTTCAGTCATCACAACACAGATATATTAGCACATATTTTCCACATAATTGTTTTCCTCATTACTGGCATTTTTGTTCTATATTTAAAAAATATTACCCAAATTAAATATATTATTTGCCGTTTTACTTTCTTGCTCACGGCTTTGATTCATGAAAAAACGTATTTGGCTTAGTTCGGTCGGGATAAAGTGCAATTTATGATGTTTTCTCTTATAATATGATATATTATATAATTATTATTATATAATATACTCATTTGGTTATTTTATCAGTCAAATAACTATCGGTTTTTACAATTAAACTGGAACATAAACGCTTTCAACATATTTGACATAATTATACATCGCTGTGGAAAATGTATGCAGCCATAAAATAGTCCCCCGGGAAATGCTTATGTAATAGTACGTGTTCGTGATTAAGGAAACAACGAACATACTGTTCTGTAAATAAGGTATGCCATGATAGTTACAATAGATAATTCTATTGTAATATGATGTATTTTTTATTGGCAAACATCAAATATTATCATATTTTTTAAGTATTTATCATTTCTCCATATTTTGCCTTTATCCGTAGCCAAGAACATACTACACAATAAAAAACTGAATAACGCCAGTGTGAACATTACTTTTTCACAACAAAAGAAAACTTATATTAATTGATTTCCATAACTTTATTTTGAACAATTTTGATATGGCTCTTAAAGAAGTTTATTAATCAATCAAGAGAAAAAATCACTTTATCACAATTTTATATATTCCGAATATCAATTTGTCAGTCAAATATCCCACAGTATAAGTCATTTAAATTGTTCTTCATTCAACTTCTATATTCCATTATATCGATTAAATATACAAACTGCTGGCTACATACTTAGTCCCTAACTATAGCTATTAATCTGAAACAATTTTGTTTTTTTTAGTAACAGTGACCCTTACCTTAACCCCATGGAGTCAAATAGCAGTCATATACCTTTTTTCAAATAAGCTATGCACTTTATGGTCTTATCATGTCATATTCCTACAAATTAAATTATCAGCCTGGAACTTTTTTATTTTCTATTTCAGCAACATTGACATTGACCCATGATTGTTCTTTCCTCATAGTTGTTTTCTTTTGTCTTGTCCCTTGATCAAAACATTTGTAGTGCAATGTTAAATCATCAGTTTTGAGACAAATGTGCATGCACAACCAAGCACCGAGTATAAGAGAAAGTGAAAATTGATTTAATAAGCTTAATGTAATTAATAAAAACTTTCCTTTGGCCTTTGTATTTAGTCATTATTTAAATGTAATATACCGAAATAACTCAAATACAACCGGATGTCTTCCCTTCAGAAGTTCAACGAGCACTTGAAATCAAAGCATATACTCACTTATCACATTAATATAACATATTTGTATTTCTATAATAAAATTATGTACCTGTGTTAGTTTATGAACCGCTTTCTTTGATGCCTCATCGTTAATCAGACACTTTGGATCTTGAAGAACTACAATGAACGCGTCCAAATAAGAACACACAGTTGTTTCGTCTATTTCAAGCTTTGGGCTATGTAAGATTTTATTACGGATATCTCTCGCCTGAAAGAAGTTTTATAATACACTCATGTAGAAGGGGAATCACATAATTCTTATGATTATTTCGTGTTTTTGTGTGTTTTTGTTTTGATTTTTGTAATACATGTATCAACATAAAGAACATTATTTTTCTACTTATGGTAAAAGAAATATTTGGTTTTAATAAGTAATTTAATGTGTTTATACTTCTAATGTTTTACTGAAGAACTGAAGAAAGCTTGCATTTCGAATTCATATTTCAGTTGAATGTTTACATCAATTTTCTGAATATACAACACACTGATTTTGTTTGCGGTTATTTTTTTTAATAAAATGGCTATACAATTAGTCTATTCAATAATTAAAGAAAATGTTTGATGATATAAAATTATTTATTAATTTTTGGCGGTTTTCTGTACTTACCAAATGAAACGAACTAGCATTGTTATGAGGATTAATACTGGTCACAAAGTTTTGCATTGACGTGTTGTTTATAATAATGCTTAGGAGACCAGCAGCATCTGTACCTTTAGCTGATGTCCCTGGACCTTTAGTTGTTTGGAAACATTTTGCATAACTCCACCCATTAGGATCCGAACACCACATACTTGGGTCAGTGTTTTTCCATAAGGGGTCTTTAAATACATGCTCGTCTATAATTGAGTCGTAGAATTTACTACAAATGCCATCAGGGCATTTCCTACGCCCGACAGGTCTGCTTCCAAAACAGTTGGTCGGATTCTTTTGGGTACATGTGCGTCTGTTACATGCCTTTGTAGTGTTGAAATGATCCGGAGAAAGATTATTTGACGTACACTGCTTGCACTGCTGTGGTGATCCAGATGGTAATGTCAATATTATCTTTTGAAGGGTATTGTCACGACATTGCAGTACCTTTTCTCCAACAAATTCTTGAAGACCTTCTTGTAAGTATTCTAGTCCTTTTGAGCCTCGAACCCAATTCGTAAACAGATCTGAATCCAGTTCCTCACTTTCCATTATAGCATTTTTGAAACAGGTCAGTCTGAATGAAAATATATTTATAAATAATAATACAATGTTTCTTAATGTTACAAGATCGACATTTTAATCATGCTAGTGTATTCAAAGTGAAACTGACACATTTATATTCATTAACTTTTATAATTATATTATATGCCATGAGAAACAAAACCACATATTTCCAAACACTTTTTTTCTATTTATTTTTCACTTTGGTCATATTTGATTAAGAGGTAAAAAGGGGAGAGTATGTTGTGCGATAAGTTTTTATCACGGCACAGCAAAGACACAGCATAGCCCTGCTCAACTAAAACAGCATAGTCTAGTGAAGCATAACGTAGCATATCATTCTAACACAGTTGACGAAACATTTTACTTTATGCAGCATACAATTGTAGATATACAATTATAGTCAAACAGTTCAAATGTAATGTGGTGTAAATTGTTATAAAGTAGCATTTTTAACAGTTAGTTAGCTGATAAGTTTTGTTGGCAAGTACATTTGGTACACTAGATTATGGACCTTTTCAAGCAGAATTTATTTGTAACAATATAGCAAAAGTATTACAAAGCTGACAAAAAAGACATGATAAAAACTATACATGTATTTCAGACATAGAATATATTTGTAAACATTATTTCACCACAAAGAATATCATTTTTACTAAGATGACATTACTGTTGTATGTACTATGCATATTATTATTGAGGTTATTGGTATCTCCCTTTAAGTTATATGCGTGGGCATATATATGTATAGTCTATTTCTGGGCATTTACTTTGAATACATATGACAGTTATTAGATGTTTTGATATTTTTGCTTGACAAGTGCTTCTAACTTCAGCAGTGTTGACCATAAAAAACTTCCGTATTGTTTTTAGTTACTTTAAACATTATGAGTTCAGTTATAATTATTATTGTATTATAGTTTAATTATTTTTCTATCGCTATTAATATGATATTGTGCGGTGAAATCACATTTTCAACAAAGTGGTCAAATGACGTAATTATAGAAACGTGACGTCAAAGTTGATGTCATTTTTAAATAATACGTCGCGCTTTTCTAATCAGAATTGTGCAGTTTTTAAACAGTACGTGCATCAGTTGTATGTAAGCAAAAAAAAAGAAAAAGAAGAAAAAACAATTCGTCACTGCACTATACATGTATTAATATAAATTATCACCGCTTGATGACCGTTTTCCGCATTTTAAAACGACTCATTTTTACAGCGTAAATATTAAGTGGGTAACCTTGAACCCCTGACAAAACACTTGCTGAATCGTATCTTAAGTACCAAGCAAACAAATTTTAATGAAGATATGAATTAAAAAATCTAATTTCATGTATTCAAACCACACTTGACATATTGTCCTTGCAACAGGAAACACTTTCAGGGCTTACTTACTTTAAATACTTCAGTAACAATTACATGTACCATTTTGATTGTTGTTTTATTTCAAGTGTCAGTACGTTTTCAAAGTATTTTTCTATATTGTAGCGGTTAAAACTTTCTGTCTTAGCTAGACTGAAAAATTTATTTGACAAATCAAATTTAATCTTATATAGCAGCCAAAAAGAGCATTTTTTAAAAATAGGTTTCCAAATAATAACAACTGAAGTAAACATGGATTGTTACTGTTTTTGGAAGGAAATTTTTTCAAAAAAAAATTTCCTTTCTATAGTATCGGTCTGCAATATCTTAAAAAGAACGAACAACACCTAATTGCATTCTGTTTAAGCTCAATAGAAAATAAGTAGTTAATGCGACCAAGAAAGTAGTGCAGCAGAACTATATGTATACTTTCAAACGTGGATGACTTGAAGAAAAAGCTGATGTTCAAAAAAACTTGAAATGATGATATTCAATGTTAGCTTACATCAATGGAACATAATCTTAAACGTGTACGGAAAAAAAACATCAGTATTATTACGCATTAGGCCAAAGAAAAGTTTGTGTCCATGTACCTATGTACAATAAATTGAATATAAATAAGGTGTAATTTTGTAGCAGAGATGCTGAAAAATTCACATGTAAGTCAACCGAAGGGAAATGAAAGTATTTATTGTATATATTTAGCAATTTATTGAATAGCATTTTATGCCACCGCTGATTTTTTTTACGTCAATAACTCAAGAGGAAACAATGGATACAATATGTGGCCTTAAAAAAGCGTACTATTTTCGCAAAAAATGGTTCGCAAACTTTCATAGAATCAAAGCGTTTGAAACAAAAATATTATTATATAAATAATAAAAAACAAGATTACAATACAAGTCTTTCAAAAGTATTCTGGAATTAACGGATGCAATTTGGTAAAACTTGGTTTTGACTAGTAGGGCACACCCGGCCGCCATTGTTCGTACCATCGGCATCGACAGAATAACGTTCGTGTTTTTCAGATTTCTCCATCCAACTTCCAAGACATAGATTTGCTGATGAATAACATCGCAAAGGTTTGTGGAAATGCTTTTATTTCTTTATTCAAAATCGTTTTGTGTTTGCAGATGTTAATTTGTTAGACAAACGAAATTAGGTCAAGGATTGTTTACATTATTGAATTTACAGGTAAACTCGGCCCTATACCAACTCGGGACAGGTCAACTCGGTCCTCTATTAAAACCATATATTAGGATATAGATTGTTTAGATTGTTTATGTAACTTGGTTGAAATTGAAAGGTTGTAATAACCAAGAAATTGGGTTCTATTCTTATATCGCTGCGGCGTCTAAATATGGATCAAAGATGTCTTTCCAAACAAATAACTGTGCACAGTTCTAATGTATTTATTTATCTTCCAGTTCACATACATGTATATCAATCTTACATATATATCCAAACATCAGTAAACCAATCAATGATCGACAAACTATATGAATCGTCAATGAATCGTCAATAAATCTCATTCAATCGACTCGATCAAATCAATTGACACTCTGAAAGTAAACAAATTATATCAACATAAAAATAAAGTAAAATCCAGTTCCTATATCTGAAAAGCATAATTATCAATTATAAAAACATCCTTACTTAGTTGATCAATTACAAATAGATATTTGCAACACATTGCACATATCACTCATAGGTACATTAACATATAATATAGTTATATGCTTTCTATTGGCTGTCATTAACATAAATAGTTCATTTAATGAAATTATCATAAAATACATAACATTCATAAAGAATATCCAAACTTACCAGTTTGTGGAACTGAATGTACAATTATATCATATTACATCATCTTCTCCAAAACACACATACAACCAAACTCTCTGTGCTGTAATTTCTGCAAATTATAATAAACAAAATGTGCAAAGTGATGGGAATGAAATGTGATATTAAGTTAATAGAAAGATAGATTTACTGCTTTTTCTGAAACAATTCTCAAACCACGAAAACTAATGATATTTCAATTAAGACCACAATCATTACTTAATTAAAAACAAATCTATGATATACACTCTTTAAAACACTGATAATAACCAAATAGAACTCAAACTCATACTGACCAACTATCAATAATCCAAATTTTAAATAAATTTAAAACACTAAGAAAATGTCTGAACTTAGATTTTACAAAGCCGCTTCAACAAAGACAAAACTAGTCACATGATCAAAATTGCGGGAAACCAAGGGAAACAACTCAAACAACCAAAAATGTATCAAGACACTCGAATTATCCATCCTGTTACATTTAGTTAATAACATATTGTTTGAAATTATCTTTAAGATAAATAATTATCTTAAGAAGAGATATCAAGACAATATATGTTGTATCATAGTTTGGAGACCTTTCTGTTGAAAATGTGTCAGGGTTAAATCGTATACATATACATGCACAGTGCGTTAACTGGAGTGCGGGTATTAGTTACCCGCACTCCAGAGCATGCCCATTGATTGGCTCATTTTTGCTGGGGTTTACATATTGTGACGGCAGAGAAAGGGAAAGCGACAGAAATGTCATATTCAGATGTTCGTTCATTGGTTCATTTTTGCCGGGGTTTCATATTGTGACAGCAGGGAACGTGCTTTTATGTTTGACTATGATACAAAAGAGAAAGAACACCAAAACACTCGGCAATCTGATTAATACTCGGGGGCTACGCCCCCTCGTACAAATCAGATAGCCTCGTGTTTCGGTGCTCTTTCTATTACTTAAACACTGTTAAATATTAATCAATAAATAGAGTTTTTAGATTGAATTTTTGTGACAATGAATTTTATTGAATTTAATACTGTTTGTTTTTTAATATGACAAATGCCTTTTTAACGATATTTTTTACAAAAAATCTGGAGTAGCATAAAATGCGTTTAAATTGTAAATTCTTTCTTTCTCTACAAATTCACATACTTTTCAATATCCTTGAGTAGATGTCTGTTAGTGTGAAAATGTTAAACCATGAAAGTTATGATGAAAACATATCAAAAGTAAGAAAAGTAATCATTATCAGTAATATGTAATTATGGGCCGAGTTGACCCGTGCTGAGTTGGAATAGGGCCGAGCTGTCTCAAGGGCCAAGTACGTTTAAGGGCCGATCTGACCCTGATTCGAATTTACAGTGTTGACTGTTGTGTAGGATTTGCTTTTTCATTTCTATTGTATATAGACTATCGATTAACATAGAAATAAGTTTATAATATATTATATTTAACTGTTGTGTACAATTGATATTCGATGTCATGGCCCTCTTGATTTTTATTTGGCGAGGTCCGAGAACAGGCAGCCTTTCGCACAGACTGCAATTTGCAGTTGGTATAGTAATTTTTAGTGTTTGATGATCGAAGATTTTTTCCTTCTGAAAATCATGGACTTGAATAATTCAAATCTGTGTGAAAGCGCAAAGAGAAAGAGACTGAAAATTAATTTATTATTTCTATGGACAATATTGATTGTAATAAATTTGTAATAAAACATGTGGGTCAATTTCCAGCAGTAATTGAATCATGACAAAGTATTTTTAATAATTTTATTTAACTTGTGGCTACTTGAAAATTTCACGCTGGATATTTGCTTACCATTACATTTTGCATAAGAGCTCTATGATTGACATTAAAGTCCACGGGCCAATTCATTTCTGATATATCTATAATCTTTCCGATATCTTGTTATAATATAAATGACTGAACATCATTGTAGAATTATAAGGAAAAAATATATATATGTTCATTCTTTGTAAAAATGTTAGAAGACTTGCAAGTTACCGACTTTATCATTGCATTTATTTATTATTGAAAAAATGCTGAACAGCTAGTCTCAACAGTGTTTATAGGCTAGAATTTTCAGTTTGCATTAGGGCCAAAATTATTAAATATATTGTTAGTCATGACGGCTTTCCCATTGCTGTCATCAAACTTTAACCTTGTTCATAACTTTTTCAGATCTTGGTGTATTGTCTTCATACTTGGCCACAACAACCCTTCAAAAAAACCAGACTAAACTAAATTAACTTGACCACCATATTAACATTCAAGGTAAATGTCTAAATTTTCTTGATTTTTGCTATTAGTGGCTATAACTTTGTTATTTTTGAATGGATTGTCTTCAAACTTGAACAACAATCTTTCAGGATAGGACCTGACTCACTCATAAATGTCCTTGAAGCTTTTGTGATCAGAAGTTGTACAGAATAATACAAACCCAGAGCAATTTCATTCACTTGGTTTTGCAACTTCTGAGAAAATGGATTTTAAAGATAGTTGTTTTCTTGAAATTTCAGGAGAGTATAGTAGATTATGAGTAAAGACATTTAATACATACTGTATATACACTATAATTACTATAGCATACTATAAAAATCTTTATGCTTGGACAATTTTGAACAAATTGTTTCTTAAACAGTGTAAGAAATTAGGATTTGAATCGACTAGGCTGGTCAGACTACTAGATTGGAATATTCACTTGTCCAAAAGACATTTCACTAGCACGATTCATTTGTTCAAAACAGTTGTTTATATTGCCTCTGAAAATACAGTAGCCTGGTCGGGCTTGTTACTGTGAAAAGTTGATAGCCCGAGGAGAAATTTAGTAGTCGGGCTCTCGGACTACTGCTAATTTCGAACACTGCTTAAATTATTGATTTGATATCAACTAACATAATTATTGGGATACTATATATAGAGGATATTTGTTTGTTTCAGTGTAAGATCGAAAAATATTTCACCGAGTGAACACCAGATGCAATATTTTCCACGAGTGGCGTAGCCACGAGTGAAAATATAATAGCTGGGGTTCACGAGTGAAATATCATTTGATCTTACATGTAAAACAAACAAATTTTCTGTTTTATTTCATGATTTTTTTAACGATTTTTTACACCATTTTACTGATTTTTTGCCGCGTAACGTCATGCTCTTATCTTCATGACGTCATCAAATAATGACGTCACAATGTTGAAGCAAAATATAATTCCATGATTATTTTTAGATTTTAGATGTTTTTCAGCACAACATTCGTAAATATTTACGAACTACAGGTATCACGTACATTTTTTATTATGATTGACTACATTTCCGCTGAAAAAAACATTCATTAATGATAAATAATTTATTTTTACGCCAAATATAGTTCGGCTACTGTGAAATTATATTTGGTAATCATTACTGTGAAATTATCAGAATATAATTAACTGTTATAATTCAGTAATCTACTGCAAAACATGTAATAAGTATATCTAATAATAATTATATTTTATGTTTCAGAAGTTGGGCCTACATGTCAGATTTATGAATGTGAACAGCAGGATATCGATTTTAAGGATGCTTTAAGGTCAATGACAATGAAATCACGAGAGATAAAGGCTAAAATGTGAGACTGTCAATCTGACTAACCTTGAAGTGAACAAATGGAAAAAATGTTTCTTTCAATAGCATGGGCTTTTAAGGAAGAGGTACATGATTATTTAGAAGTATTTGTATATGATATTTCTTAATTATTATATTCTAATAGCTTTTTTTTTCTTGACTTGTTTAAAGGCTGACACAGGACAGTTTATTTTAAGTCAGTGAGCTTCGGTCACTGGATAGACTATTGTCACAAAAAGCCAAATTTATAAAAAAGAATTACAGTGTATTTAAATATCTTATACAAGAAATTAGGAACAAAATTAATAGCAAGAACAATTGTGACATGTAACATGTATTTAGGAATTCAGCTTTCTTTTCCTTTTTACCTCAGGACAATTCACATTAAAATATTGAATATTCACAGTAAGCAGTGTTAGCACTCCGACATATCTGACATATATGATCATCTTATCATCACTTAGCTGTCTATAGCTTATCAGAATCACTCACATTTATGAATTTAAATAATTTTGAAAAAATTGCTGCTTAGCAAATAGATAAAATACTTGGGGTGTCTGTGACTGATTGGTTTAGTTTCTTGACTTTAAACCTTTAAGCCTTTCACTGCTGTAAGTTCGTGCTCGGCAAGGGTTTACAAGTGGAATTTTAACTTTGCAATTAACTTTTTCTAAACAAATATTTCAGGAAACAGAGGCGCTTATATGATAGAACAGTAAAAGCAGGAGTGATAAGGAAAGATACATGTAGATGTGTCTTCATGTCGGAAACACTAAAGAAATAGAAATATTGTGGTTTTATAAAACTTAAAAGAAATTGGAATATCAGGAGACTGCCTGCCCTTTGCAATGTTGGATAATGAGTTCTTAGATGTGATGTCGAAAGCCTCATGAATATAGTACCATGACTTAATCTAATTAGAAAAAGAAATGACATTGAGGAGAAAACTAGTCACCAGTCTTTCACCAAGAACTAGAGATAACTTTCCAATATTCGAAATATCATAATATGTATAGAACTTTATTGAGCCACCAGTTTTTCACCAGGAAAATAAGATCACTTAACTATTTTTAGCTCACCTGTCACAAAGTGACAGGGTGAGCTTTTTTGATCGCTTTTCGTCTGGCGTCCACTTTAAATGACATCTCCTCATAAACCACTAAGCCAATTTCATCCAAACTTCACAGGAATGTTTCTTTGGTGGTCACCTCTAAATATTGTTCATAGAACGCTGGTTGCCATGGCAACCAAAAGAAAAAAACTTAAAGTATCTTCTTTTAAAGAACCCAAAGAGCTAGAGCTTAGACAAAGTATCTTCTTTTAAAGGTATGAAACATCTTCTAGTGAGTGTCTACCAAGTTTGCTCAAATAAAAGCCCTTGGGGTCAAAATTGGCCCCGCCCCAGGGGGTCATTGAATTTCCCTATATGCATATAGTAAAAACTTAAAAATCTTCTTTTAAAGAACCAAAATAGCTAGAGTTTAGGTATTAAGCATGAAACATCTTCTTGTAAGTGTCTACAAAGTTTGTTCAGATAAAAGCCCTGGGGTCAAAATTGGCCCCTCCCCGGGGGTCATTGATTTTCCTTATATGTGTATAGCAAAAACTTAAAAACCTTCTTTGAAAAAACCTAAATAGCTAGAGTTTAGATATTAAGCATGAAACATCTTCTGGTAAGTGTGTACAAGGTTTGTTCAAATAAAAGCCCTGGGGTCAAAACTGGCCCCGCCCCAGGGGTTTCATTGTTTTTAACTATTTGTGTATAGTAAAAACTTAAAAAATCTTCTTTTAAAAAACCCAATGAGCTAGAGCCTAGATGTTTAGCATGAAACATCTTATGGTGTCGACCAAGTTTTCTCAAATTTAAGCCCTTGTATAAAAATTGGCCATGCCGGGGTGGGGGGTGGTGCAGAGGTCTTTGTTTTACATTATATGTGTGTAGTAAAAACTTAACATCATGAAACATCTTCTAACGGGTGTCTTACAAGTTTGGTCAAATAAAAGCCCTGGGGTTGAAACTGGCCCCGCTCCAGGGGCCTATATACACATGGCCCTCTTGTTCAACAATCTTGTTGAAATATGTATGAACAAATCTTTATCAACTTCAAGCTTTTATTGAAGGAATTTGAAATAACTTGGCAGAAATGATTGTTATAATAAGACAATGAGTCATGTCAACAACCAGACCCCTACCTCCAGGGTCAAGGTCGCACTTGCTCATTCAAGGTCAACTTGTCTATTTGAGAGTATATCTCGTGTCCGGTCTTCCCTATCTCTAAAGGGATTTTGTAAATTCTTGCCACAATTGCTCACAATAATGAGAAGATGTGTCATGCTCAACAACAGGTCACCTGCCTCCAAGGTCAAGGTCACACTTGGAGGTCAAATATTAGCATAGCCTGTTACAGGGTATATTTCGTGTCCGGTCCATAACTTTGTCATTTATTGAAGGAATTTGAAATAACTTGGCACAAATGTTTGTTATAATAAGACGATGATGTGCAACAACCAGACCCTTACCTTCAGGGTCAAGGTCACACTTGCTCATTCAAGGTCAACATTGTCCATTTGAGGGTATATCTCGTGTCCAGTCTATACCTTTCTTATCTTTGAAAGGATTTTGTAAATACTTGCCGCAATTGTTCACAACAATGAGATGATGTGTTATGCGCAACAATCGGTCACCAACCTACAAGGTCAAGGTCACACTTGGAGGTCTAAGATTAACATAGCCTGTTATAGGGTATTTTTTTGTCCGGTCCATAACTTTTTTGTATATCAAAGGATTTTGAAAACACTTGGCACAAATATTCACTATAATAAGACAATGTGTCAAGCGCAACACCTGCATCCCTACCTCCAAGGTCAGGGTCACATTTCGAGGTAAAAAATTAACATAGTCTTTTAAAGGGTATATATTGTGTCCAATGTAGAACTTCTTCATAGTTCAAGGGATTTTGAAATAACTTGGCACAAATAGTCACAATAATAAGACGATATGTCAATTACAACACCTGCACCCCTGCCTCCAAGGTCAAGGTCACACTTAGAGGTATAAAGGTAACAAAGTCTGTTATATGGTATATTTTATGCCCCGTCCATAACTTCTTCATAGATGAAGGGATTTGGAAAATACTTGGCACAAATAGTCACAATGATAAGATGATATGTCATGCACAACACCTGCACCCCTACCTCCAAGGTCAAGGTCACACTTAGAGGTCAAAGCAGGGATTTTTTCCAGGATTTTGGGAACATAACCCATACCCATGCAACTGGGAATTTCAGCAATATTTTGTTAAAATTGGGAAAAAATGTATGACTGAAAGTTTGCAGTGATTAAATGTATGCAAGCAATCACTGCCTAGGATGGCTTCTTCAAACATTTAAACACTATTACAGTAAAGAAGCCCTTATTTTCAAAGATTTTAGAATTCTTTATTCAATATTTATATTTTTGTAACTTTCAATTGGGAATATTTTCCTTTGGATTGGGAAAATAATATACTATTTTCAATTGGGAATATGTCCCAATAACGGCTATAAAATAAGCCAAAAAATCCCTGCAAAGCTTAACATGATATATTTTGAAATTTCATTTTATTTCTTTAATAAATTTATTGTTGCATTTGCAGATCCAGCATTGATCATAATTTTGGACTGAAAATCCTTAGATCCCTGCCTCAATCTTTTGAAATAGCACAATTTTTTGCTTCATATAAAACTTCCCTGAGGCGGGGGACGTTGGTATCTCTGTTACAAATTCTTGTTTATTTTACCAACAAGTGTTCACTTTCAAACTTTTGCTCATTGTATTTTTTGTACTACCTTTTGTATAATGTTGTATTTTATTTATGTTCTTATTCTAAGATTAGCATGGCCAACTCATGAAAGTCCAAATGATGGTCAACTTTTTTTATGTTTTTTTTGTTGTTTTTTTTTAACATTATTTACTTTATTTTTACAGTGTTCCTCTGAATCATACATTCTGTTTTAGTTAAACATGCACTTCTTGTTACTTATTTTCCCATACTTCATATTACATTGATCACGGTTTGATGTGATGGCTCATAAAATTATAACAATATCATTTCTTTGTACTTTACCTAGTAAAATATGAAAACAAATGCTCTTGTAAGCCAACCAATAAGATTTGTACACCTTTTAAGGATTCAATTTATAACTGGTATATTCAACAATATATCAAAACACAGGTCAAGTATGATTTCAGTTACATTCCACAAAATTTATACAACATTGTGCCTTCCTTACCAAATCATATGCAAAAAATTGATTTATAACTGATAATATTTGAATGCTTTTGAAATCTATAAAGATTTTTCATATAACTCTGGACAAAATTTAACAGTCTTTAGTGAGTTGGAGTGTAGTATGAAAAATCAGGTGTCTGTTGCAAAGATCAAGGTCACTACTTTAGATCAAAAGTCAAATAATAACTTAAAACATGAGAGTATATTTCTATATACATGGCTGGATTTTCATAACATTTATCACAAATGCTCACTTATGTATACATCTTTCTCCCCAATCTGAAGCTTTAAGGTTCAGTTCTGAATAATGGCAACAGGCTTGATATATGCTGCCAGTGGGCTTGTCTAATTATGTACATATTTTGATTACCCACTCAATATAAGCATTGTTCTTAACGCAGGCATTCAAGTCCTATGGGCACATTTCTACTTTTGACTATATTTTGTTGTATAATGTCAGTCTTGTATGTAAAAAATCCTTAAAACAGCACCTCCTATATTACTGGCCGTTTGCATTAAAGCTTCTTTCATTCAGATTGTTATAACTTGTATCACCTCAATATGTACCAATAATTTAAAGGGACTCACTCCATTGAGGTTTAAAAGCCTAAAACATAACATTTGAATTTCTACAGAAATGAGCCGGGGCACTTGATACAGAAATATATGCACAGATAGTGAAGAAATATACTTTGAAATGAATTGAAAATCAATTTTTTTATGCTTTTCTCAGCCTGATCTGCGTGATATGTGTTTAAACGCTTTCATTTTGGGTAATTTTTTTACAATTTGAATAATTATTCTTGAAAAACGAAGTGCGCAAATGATCTGAAATTTTTCTCAAAGAGTAGTGGTCAAAACATACATCAAGTGGTACATTAATCTAGAAAAATAAATTTCAGTCTCATCATGTCAAAAAACCTCAGTGGAGTTCCTTTTACACATTTTATCTGACAAACTAAATTTCATTATCTCCATATATTTAATCATTTATTTTTTATATTACATATATTTTTACTTTTATGCAAGTTTTGACAATAAAAGTTTATTTTAAATCATTGTTCTTTGTTTTGCTATGACTTTAACAGCATGTACATCAATTTCATACTAAAACACAATTAGTTATGTTTGAACTTACAAATGTAAGCACATGATGAGCTTTTCTTGTCCTTGAGTTTAAAATAAAAAGTCTCTTCATTAACTATGATTAAATAATGCTTATGGCATGGTCTTGAATTCCTATGAAGTAGTCATATAAGTCATGGCCGATTTAGGTCAAACTGAGTGGTTCTTTGTGTGCATAATGCAGTAGTATTATCTATTAATTCACTTATTACTATATTAGTAACAGAATTGCCTATGATTTCAACTGATTATGAGTGTCACAACTTATGGGTTTGGGGCCCTGGGCCAAGAACTAGTTATCAGCCCACTGAACATGAGTAGTGCAAAAACGGAAACAATGACGTCACATTTTACGTCATCAAATCAGCTAGCTGTAGATTGAAGCTTGCACATATTCCTTTGTTTTTAATTCACACGCATTAGGTATTTCTATGAAAATTTCCTTCCAACAGTACTTTCAGTGCTTTGATTATATAATATCATAAAATACCGGTACTGCAAACTCTGACGAAGAAGTCTCCCTTCGCCTCGCTTCACAAAACGTGGCCAATCAAATCACTGTGAGGAGTTTAAAAATACACGTCAAGTTCGAATTCGTGTTTAGACCACTACAATTTTACATAGTTATGTTCCCTTTTTATCTTCAAGTTTGCACAAAATAATGTTTTTAAATGGTTTTCTTTAAGGGAGTGAATTCACTTCAATTAAATTTTTTAGCAGTTTGTTGAAACATTATAAAATACATATCAATATCAAATATGGATTTACGCAACTAAATTTTGACACAGTTAGGGCCCATTTTGAACCTCAATTAAGCAAAGAAATTTCACTTGATTACTCTATAAATAGTCAATGGATTGAAATACATCTGTTTTTTTTTTTCAAAAACAGGTTGAGTTTAAATTTTGATTCAGACCATTTTATTTTTAACATAGTTTTTGCTCCTTTTCATCAAAATTTTGCAAATACTTGGTTTTCAAATTTATTTTAATCTTTTAAGGAGTCACCTGATCTGAAATAATTTTCAGAAAACGACTGAAATAAATAAAATACAGGTTGAATTTTAATTTTGATTCAAATCGCTAAACAAATATCTAGATATTATAATTTGTTAAATATAAAATGGTTTTCAAATGATAACTTTAAGGAGTCAAAGGATTGTACACTGATGTCATATCATTTAATACATGTTCAGTTCAAGTTAAGGCACACACCACTAAATGTTTTGACAGTTTTGGTTTATTATCAAACGTATTTCAATGATTAATGATATTTCTTGAACCAATTATCAATAAATTGCTGTCTTATTTGGCTTTAAACAACAGCTCCTCTAACCAAACCTTGCAGGAATGATCCTTCGGTGGCCCCTTTTCAAAGTTTTCTAAATGTGTCCGGTGTCAAGGGAACACCTGGACTTAATTATGAAAAACACATATTAAAGCCCTTTTTTCTCAAATTAATATGCCCAAAGCTTAACTATTTGGCATGTGGTATTGCCTTGTGGACCCTTACAAGATATACACTGATCTAATTCATGTCACTTGGGTCAAAATATTCCGCGTCTAAGGTGGTCATGATTTATATTAACCTTCATAGGGAAAATATATTAAAGTCATATTGTATGACAGTTCAAAGCCTGGACATGAAAAATTGGATATGTAGCATTGCCTGGTGAATTTTTACAAACAAATTTTAATCATGACCCATTAGTAAACATTCGCCCAGCCTTAGGGGGTACTTGATCAATATAGACTTTGTCTGGTCCATCGGGTCATGGATTCCAACACTATTAAGTGTTGAAAATTGGGTACCGCTCAAGCTGGTGTTAGACGGCGTGGGGGTGTTGCACTTGTTTGCATTATCCCTAATGTATAAACTAAATCAAACCGACCGTGCAATTTTCATGTAAAGCTGGTGTGATTAATGATTCCGAGGGTTCACACTTTATCCAAGTTTTTGTATAGGACTTGTGTTTGCTGTCACTCATTCCAATACATATTTACCTATAACAATTTAACTTCATATGTGAATACACCTTGATGGGTTCTACCTACCACGCACATTTTCAGGTCAAATTGTCAAGGTCACCGGGACCTTATATATCACAAACATACAACGGGCAATAAAGTTAAAGTGTATATCGAGGGTTGACTGCAAAACTGCAATATCTTATATGGAATAAAGGACTTCCGGACAATTTTGAGATCAACCCTCGATATACATCGGGACTTCATTCTTTCTATGTGGATGCATATTGATATATTTTATCCTCAGTTGACCGCCTTGAGGCCAATTGCCACCTTCTTATGAATGGAATTCCTCTTTGTTAATTCCATCATTATCCAGGTTGTTTTACGATGCGGAAGCTGTCAATTTGACATTTAAACATACAGCAGGACATTGAAATGACAAGGCGAGCCACTTCTAGCTTTTTAAAAAGCTAACCATGTATATATACAAATTAGAAAAAAGAACACTTTAATGTAGAAATAACAAGGAAGATGTCACATCACATGGGTATCATTGTTTTATATAACGGACACTTCCAAACAGGAGTATACTATTGAGAAACAATTGTTTAGTGAAGTGGGTGAGTGCGTAATACGCTTGAAATTGTTGAAATCACTTCCTGTTTGATATGAAATTAAAGGGAAACAAATTTTCTTTGAAATTTCATTACTAATCACAATGTACGCAGCATGGCACAAGATCCATACTTATATTCATAATAATTAGTAAAATGTATTTTGATGTAAAATATTGTGTTCAAAGTGTACAAAGGAAGTAAATAACACTTTGCATACGGCGCTCAAATTCCAAATTACCGTTGTCAAAATAGTCCCTTCTGCATTAGTGACGCAATAGACATGTGGTGATATCTTATTTTGTCAATATTTTGCGTGTACTCTGTCAACTCGTTTTTGTGGTTTATGCTAATAAGTGAAAGTATGGTTGTTGTTTTTAATTTTAGTGAGATTAAACCAATATCACTGGGTATATATCACTCACGGCGTTGTGAACCAAGCTTTGTCAAACTGTTTGTGTGGCCTTCGTATTGTTTTATGATTCCTCGATATCCTAAAAATGTGCTTCAAAAACAATAACTGCGCTAAAATAATAAACAATTTTCACCGCAATGATAACTCTAAATAAATAAATACAATTTGTAGATGCTTGATGTGCAAATTATTCGAGATTGTACAAGTTTGTTTACTATATCTTAAACTTCATTAGAAGGAAATCATCAATTCAAAAACTTATTATACCGTTGAAAAAAAAAACGTGTTTCATATTTTTCTAAAATTCAGGTCGATTCATATGTGTCACAGTTACTCTACACTGGTATGGTTATAAATCCAAATGTTTCATCTAAATTATTCAAGGTAAGATATAATGAAAACAAGACCGCTTAAAATCAATACGGTTGAATGTACAATCTATATTTATGGTCGTAACGGTAGGAAGTTTAAATTAATATTTCCAAAATATGTTTATTTTGTATGGTTTTCTACGTTAGAGGCAATTATGATTATGCTTTATTCAACTGAACATGAGGCAGTGAAGCCTCCAGAATGGACATGGTTTGACTTGAAAACATTCTTTAACATAATTTCAATTGCTACCTCTGTTTTCAGGGTTCGATATTCTGATATAGGTTTTAAAGATTTGCTGCTTTTATTCCATATTTATTGCCTACAGTATGAAATGAACTGAATGAGATAAATGTTCATATAAGTTTTTTTTTCCGTCAAACTTTTAATATCATTACTTCGAAATTAACACAAACCGGTGTCTATTTTTGCGACTCCGTAAATAAAACGGTATTGCACATCCGTGCATATTTTGACGTGGCGTTATTTATGTAATTCAAACATGGTACAAAGTCGCTCTAAATGCAAACGTTACACTATAATATTCTGCACTTAAATATGTGTATGTGATACAAAGAATATATCATTTATGTAGGTCCATGAACTGAATTCGTTGAATAAAATAATATTTAGCTCGCCAGAAGCCCGCACATGTTTTTATTCAATTCGTTCCATAAATTCAGTTCAGACCCTACACTCATGCAATATCCTCTATATCTTCAAATTACATTGTCAGTATTAAGAACAACAGACCAGGTGTTGTAACTGGGAAAACTTCGTATGGTGACGGAAAATCGTTGTCAATCTTACGTTACCCGGATACTACGTGAGTTAATGAAGAAAAATCAAATATCTTTTTTTGTTATTGACTTGTTTTTCCCAAATTGTACAAACATGTAACAAAAATATTTTATTGTGTAATGTAATGATAATTTCAATATTAAATTGTGCATGTATTTTACATACTAATTTAGATTTATACATGTAGGAGTATAATTATGTCAAGAATAACGATGACTCATGCGTTTACGTAGCATTTTTGAACGACTTGGTCAATAACGCAAAATAAATCAACGTTGCAAATAAAGTTTAATAATGTTATAAATCAAGTTTTCAGTGTCCAAAGATAATAAAATTTGTCTTGAATGATTCAGAAATAATGCATTTTGAGAATGTTTGAAAAAAGTAAAATTTCAATTAGACCACTATGTTGAAAATGTCATGTCACGGCTAATTATATGAGGCTTGGTGCAATTAAGCAGTGATGTTTAGCTGATTTCTAAAATTTATTCATAACAAATAGATAAGTGAGAGTAATAGCGATAAAAGCTACAATATGATAAATTGAATATGGAGTAAAAAAATATGTAGTTGATAATCATTCAATTTTAGCAGATATTTCATAATTTACCAGTCCAAACATGGATTTTTATGGTTTGATTTTTTGACATTTTGATGAAGCCTAAAAGCATTTATGGGTTTGGTTAACAATTGTATTTTTACCGAGAGTGGTCATTTGCATTTTCACACTTTATAATTATCTAACAGTAGATATGAGCGAT